CAAAAGCGTAAAAGTAATGAACAGAGTGAGTTTTCTAGAGAGAATAATGTAAAAAACAAGGTCTGGAAGGTGAATAATCAAGTCTAGGTCGAAAATCTGATGTTAAAATCCTGACCTCGAAATTCGCACCGAGCAAGTCGCGAGTCGCGACCTAAGTCGCGAGTCGCGACTTACCAAAAATCCATCTCGCGAGTCGCGAAATATCGCGAGTCGCGCGTCGGCAAAAATATGTAAAATCTGGGGAAAATCGCGAGATAGCTCGCGAGTCGCGACTTCATCTCGCGAGTCGCGAATTTGACTCGCGAGTCGCGACTTGTCTCGCGGAAGTCTTCTTTTCGGCTCTGTTGGACTCGCGAGTCGTGACCATCTCGCGAGTCGCGACTATCTCGCGAGTCACGACTCCGACTCGCGAGTCGCGAGAAACTCTGGGCAGCTATTCGGTCCCTTTTTTCGGTCCTTCCTTCAGTATTCTGAGCACATCAACGGGTATTCATGATATCTCGGTCTCAGCTCTAGCAGTCCCGTCCTCAATCGACACAACCTACCTCCTGAAAACACAAACACGAAGAAAACACGAAGCAAAACACAACAAAAAGACACACAAAACGAACTAAAGAGAGAAACGAAAAAATCACAGAATTTGACCAAATAAACTACAGAAATCCTATAAGTGGGGAAAAATAAAAAGAGAAAATAAAGCGAAAATAAAGACACAAAAATGGGACAAACAGGCGGCAGTTTGGAGTGATTTATCCGCATGCGGGCGCGGGTTGGGTTCGTTCGAGCGGTTCGGTTACTTAGCGTGTGAATAAAATTTAAAAGCTCGACCCGGTTCGATACTCAGTTCGGAACTTAATTTGGAATTTAATTCGGCTCGATAGTAATTAAATACACTAAGCAAATAAGAGCATATAATCACGTAATAATAAAATAATCGAGCCCAAAAATTAATTTGAATAAAATAAAATGATTAAAATATTTCAGATAAATCCGAAACAAATGGGGCGCTACACCATCCCATTTCCTTGCTTAACTGGTTTTATCTTAGGTTTTCTCTTATTTGTGCGGAATGCTTCCACATGCAACGTGCCGAATATATATTCGACTGAAGAGCCTGCAACCTGACATAACAACTTTAAAACCCCAAAATTCTTTTCTCAATCGAATTGATTAGTTCGTAATCTCCATGAACACTACAAGCATGAAACAATATTTTTTTATGAGTTTTCTCCAATATCCAAAGCCAGTCGATTAATTAATTCAAATGTTTCACCAAGAAAACCCGATCTGCCAATGAGGTAAACAAATTGCATTCAGATTGTTAAACTCCAACACTAAACGTTTTAAGCTCATGTTTTGTGCTCTAGAGACAAAAAAAGGTAGTTTAGTGCTTTATCAGGAAACTTAAAAAATCTCGGAATAATCAGATGATCCAACTATATGAAGGCAAATAAGAAGAAGAAAACAAAAAAGATGTTAATAATATATTGTTCTCGCCTTCTTCTTAAACTGACATCAAAGAAAAATTAATCGAAGATGACAAAAGCACAATATATCCTACAAAAAGCTCCACATTCTACTCTATGGTTAGCATAAAAGATAGCAAAAGAGGATAAAAGAGGATAAGTGGTGTTATTTAACAAAATTTGGTTATGCTCTCGGCAAGAACATAAAACATGGTATCGGCCGAAACACCACACTCAACACCGGAATAAGGTGTGTTGTAAAAGGAACCCCACCCAGTCCAATCACGCTCACACTCAGGCATTGAACATAGTGTAGTAATGCAACGACTCATCGAAACTCTACAGAAAGATGTCGTTGTTGTGGCTCGCCTCCTGCTCAACCATCGTCCCGATTTTAGGGTTCATTGCGTCACTTTCATGAAAAGTTCTAGGGCTTTGATGAAAATAAAGTTGCCCATCTACGGTACATCCATACAATGAAACAATTATTTCAAGGAAGTCAATCATTTATCTAAATCTAATACAATCTATTACAATTGTTAAAAACACAACACAAAAGTTGACATTTTTTTGGTGTTAATTGAACCGTCAAAGCAGAATTTTTAGCCCTCAATCGAAACTAATTTCACTTGACAGAACCAACGTATCAAAATTAATAATTATTCATAAAAATAAAATTACTTTACCTCAACATTCTTCCTTCCTCTATTTTCCAACATAGTTTGACTATCAAGTATCAACACAACAAATAGAGTTTGCAACGAGTGACTTTGAATATTCGGTCCCAATTTAAGACACTCCTGCTCCAAAGCGTAGTTGTTATAGGCTGAGACGACCCTCATTCCAGTGAGCCAAAAAATGGCACACGGCCAAAGCCTAAATCAAGATGGATAAATGGAAATTGGTAAATTCAACAAATGTCACTTGCGCACACATCATGATCCACTCGCCTAGCAAACGGCACCATAAGAAAAACTAAGATGAAATAAAGAAAAACATAAAAATTTAAATATTAATTAATTATACAGCTCACTCGAGTGATGCTATGGCCATGATCATATCACCATTACCATCGCGGCTTCATTATTGTTCCCCATGGTCCTGTCGTTTCCGTCGTGTGACCTCGAGATACCAACTTGTCCTTTTGTTGGCAAATAGACTGCAAAACTATTCTCATGAAAAATTACATGTAGACTT